ATTTATGCAGACATCACACAGCAATGGAGAAATGAGCCCAACAGCAAAAATCATTTTTTCTTTCATATAATTGGTATGAACTAGCTTTTGAAAAATTTTTGGACCTCCACTGCCGTTATGCCATGTCTAAGAAGATTCTAGAGGGATAAAGAGGCCCTAGAGGGTGCCTGTTACATCACTAGTTGTGCTTCGTGAGGAATGAATGAGAGAGTTGATAACTGAAAGGTACCTGGTAGAAGCCTCATGAAAACAGAACAGAGGATGAAGAAGGCAGGTTAAGAATTAGCAGTCATTCTACGGGCGCCATTAGGGAAAGGGGGGAAGAGGGGCAGGCCGGACATTTTCCCGGCCCTGGGTTTTGGAGAAAAACCGTTTGGGCCGGGCAAACCGCTCAACACTGCAGGAATGAGAAATAAAGAGCGGGAAAATCGTCAGAAGTAGTTTGAAAGATGCGCGTTTGCTGTTTCCATTGTGAGAAGCTGAGCAAAAGAAGAAAATAAAAACCTTGTCACTCTTTTGCCCGGCCCTGCAATAACCTGAAATGGCGCCCCTGAATCATTCAAATGGTCACAAGGTACAAGGTGCTGAAACTTCCAATTAAAAGAAAAACGATGCAAGTGCAGCAAAAGAGATTAACATGAAGAAGAGGAATAGAACTTGCTGGGTTCATTGGTAGAATTGGGTTCATTGGTGGGTTGGTTCTTGGTAGATTTACAAAGCGAGTAACCAAGGAAATTGCCCATGAGCAGAAAATTTCAGAGAGATGGAGAAAAGAGAAAAAGAGTTTGTAGAGTTCCATCTTTTAAATGAACAGTTATACGGGTAAAAACAAATTTGGACCCTACACTACCCTCGTCTTACGAAATATTTACCCCTAGAAACATCTAAGAAGCGACAAAATTCTTGTTGCCTTGGGGCGGAAAAAGTTTAATCTGTGCATGGCTAGGTTTGAAGGATTCATGATTTTTCAGACTCCCTGTCTCAGCTAAATTTCTAATTTTTTTACACATATGACATCAGTGAGATACTGTCTCTCTGTTGTTGGCTATACTTTGTCTCTGTGAGGTGCTCTTTACCAACTAGTAATAGTCTAAGAGCCAGCTGCATTTTTGGCGCCACTACTTCGGCACGCATGAAACTTTGCAGAGACATAGTTCTGACGTCCCTAATAACGGATTGGGCAATATCAGACCTCAAAAAAGGTGCGTCTGGCCGCTGCGCCCCCCGAAAAACGGAAAAAAGCATGCAATAAAATCTAAAGGAAGAGCCACTATGTTCTTCCCTAACCTTTATATTGTACAAACGAATAGTATGGGTACATGTGAACTTAGTTCTAGTCCGGCAGACAATTTCGAGTTCATGTGGCCGATCGGCAGATTTAGAAATTTCCAGATCATTATTAATGAGATTTTCTTGATGGGATACCAGAGTGAAAAAAAGAAAAAAAATTGTTCCTTCCTTTCCTTGTTTGCTTCTAGCGGGCACTATGACCTCTTCACACCATTAAAAAATAAAACCTATATAATAAAATTAACAACCTCAATTGGGGATCGAACTCCGAAGTGGTATTCAGAACCCAGTAACTTTAATCATTAGACTACTGCCCTGAGGATGTGCAAGTTACGGTTTTCAGCTTTATCAAGAAGGTTTCAATCTGATTTTTCCTTGTCACAAACTTCGTTCATTGACCTATGTCAATCTTTAAGCAGAATTATTTACATTATTTTCTCAGTACTAAATTTTCGAGTCCATCTCGAAAGATAAAAATCAAGACATTGGACGAAAATTGTCAATGCACATCTCTATTATCGTTCTCATGGATAAGTTTGTGGGTGTTGTTTTGATTTTAAGTGTAAGGCCCTCAGTTTACCTAATGATCCCAAGGCACTACCATGCCGATTACGTGCTTTATTTGTGCAAATGAGAACTCAAAGAGAAGTGCTGTTTTGATCCCGTTGAAGTTAAAGACTTATGAAAAATGTGAAATTGTGTTAAGCGCTAAAAAAACACACGGTCTTAGATACGGGAATGTAACCTTGCCAAAGTCTTTTTCCGAATACGGTTATCATGTATCTTGTTATAAGGACTTCACCGCTTTAAAGAAGAACTTGCCTGTGTCATCAATTCCTGAAACTTCGAATCTCATCATTTAAGAGGAGGGTCTGGATGCATCAGGTACTTCAACAATTTGAATAAATAATATACATTTATATATCTCCCCTTTTTCCTTCATAAAAATACAAAATGCACTGGAAAAAGTATTCCCTAATCTCAAGATTATTTTTTTTTTTAAATTTGAAGTGCTTGGTGCAGTACGGGCATTTCTTGCTCGTGGTGTTTCAGAATATTCGTTAAAATGTGTTAAAAAAATTCTAAAAAATAGTGTATTTTCTTCGGAAAATACACTAAAAAAGTGAAAAAATCTAAAAACGTAGTACTTGGCTGCATACCTTTCAAATCGAGAAAAATGTTGTCATAACAACATATGTTGATGTAATTCTTCTCGCTGACAACATGTTGTTATGACAACATTTTTCTCACTTTGAAAGGTATACAGCCAAATACTACGTTTTTAGATATTTTGTCTTCGATAATAATGGTTATGAGACTTAGAAATACCTTCAAAAGGTTGCATGGTAAGTGTGCTCCAACAAGTTTTTAGCGCATTTAAGCTCTCAAGAGCAATTTCAGAATCTTACCGATCGGCTACACGGCCTTACCCTTATCTGCCGCAACAGGGGTATCTCAAAATCTATTCACCTTTAATTTTATCCGTATTTTTCAGTTTAACATGATCAGAGTACCGGAACAAGGTAATAGAACTTTTACGGTTCCCTAGAAGGGTCGTTCAGGCCAGTATTTTCACGTTGCTTGCAGAGCCATTTTTGGGGTCTGCCTATCAGTCGCATGAACTTGAAATCGTCTGCTGGGCTAAAACTAAGCTTACTTGTACTCATACTATGCGTATATACAACGTGAGAGTTTAGAAAGAACATTAAAGCACTTTTCAGGAGCCAAAAAGTGGCTCTTCCGTTCGATTTTATCACACGGAAGAGCCATTTTTGGGGTCTACCGATCGGCCGTATGAACTCGAATTCGTCTGCCGGGCTAAAACGAGGTTTATATGTACCCGTACTATACGTGCGTACAATATAAAGGTTAGAAAACAACGTCAAAGCACTTTCCAGGAGCCGAAAAGTGGCTCTACCGTGCGATTTCATCGCATGCTTTTTTCCGTTTTTCGGGAGGCGCAGCGGCCAGACTCACCTTTTTTGAGGTCTGATAATGCCCAATCCGTTACTAGGGACGTCAGAACTATGTCTTTGCAAAGTTTCATGCGTGCCGAAGTAGTGGCGCAAAAAATGCAGCTGGCTCTTAGACTATAAGCTTTGTCATTAATGATCACTTACTCTATTTAATGCAGAATTTGACTTGTCATTTAAAAAATCAAAGATAAAAATAATCAAAATTTGTAAGAAAATTTCATCAAATTTGCATTAGGCACGGTGAGCACTCAGTTATCTGATCATAATTTTTCTTGTCAATTATAATAAGAGTGAAAACAATAATTGCCTACAAATATTTTGCACTTTAGGCCGACTTAACCTTACATTCTTTGACTAAATTGACAGAATTTACATCCTTATTTGACAGTTCAACTTTTTCACTTCTGCCTCCTGTCCTTGAAATTAGCTGTTTTGAATAACAGAAAACCTTAAACCTAGACCAAAAAAGGACACTGCTGAGGAGATGTATGATGATATGTATTCAAAGTGGATTGCAATGGCTTCCCTAAAAGAGCGTTTCACCGCACTGGGCCAAGTCAAAGATGATTCAAAAGTAGACAAGGTGCTTAGGGATCAAGGTGGGCAAACAATTTTTCTTGGCATCTTGGCAATAATTATATACTCAGTAACTAATTTTAGATGACATACAAGTACAATGCTGTGGCATAAAATCAACCAGGTTGAACTTTATCTTCGTTTTGAAAATGATTTCCTAGACGCTAGTTTCCCTTTAAAAAAAAAGAAGGAGGAAGGAAAAAAAAACTCTTTCATGAGTTGCTTTCCTTTGAGCTATCACATTCTCTGACTGACAAAATAATAGTTTGTCTCGGTAACCTTGGCAGCTGCAGCTTAGGGAGCTCTCAGAGTAATAAGGGTGTTGGACAAAAAGGTTCCTACCAACAAATAACAAATTATACAAACTACTGCTGATATATGGATCAACAGACTACTTCGTTGCCTACAAGAATGGAGAGGCTGTAACTACGATTCTGTGATGTCACGCCAATAGATGAAACTCGGCCGCGAGGTAACATGTATTCTTATGGGAGAACGTATGACACATGTTCCTATTGTGCTACATACTATCATTACAAGGGTTGATCTGATGCAAAAATTCATACAAACCTTTTCGAAAGGGAATAAAATTTCACATCAGAAAACTGCCTGGCCCATAAACATTGTCTGATAATTGGAGAAATGAAAGCAAAACACTACTTAATACCGAATATCGTTACCCCACTAAAATTCGAACAACGCTCATGCAACTTCGGCCAATTGGCTGCGGCTCTGATTGGTTAAACGGGCGATTACTCTTCTAGTTTGAAATCACGAAACTGAGTAGTTACAAAAGTGCAATGTTTAGGAATTTTTTTGGCGGAGAGTTTGGTTTGATACAGCAATTCTATTGCGTGTGGGAAATTTTTGAAAAGAGCATGAAAAAAATGTTTCAACCTCTGCCAATCACTGAAAAATTGTCCGATTTACATTCAGTTTGGATAAGGTGGCTTGTTTTTTGGCGTAGAATTGATTTCTGAAATAAAAAAGTAGGGGTACCATTTGAAAAGTTTGACTTACGGGTGGGGCACCCCCCGCCCCTCCCACGGTTTGGGAAAATGTCTAATACGCCAAAAGGTGTCCCCCTCGATACAAACGAACACGTCTTTTATCGTTTTTCGAAATTCCGACGCGTGCGGCAGATATTCAAGGTGGCTCCTTTTTCGTGAGACACCCTGTATATGGGAGGGCTGAAATTTCTGGACTATCAGCTTTGAGAATTAGATAGTAAGAGAGCTTAATTTGTTAGTTTCTCAAAGAGACACTGGTAACAGCACTGGCTAAAGCCACTAATTTTAAAAATTAACATATCTCCCCCCCCCCCAATTTTCCATTTGTTGTGGCTTTGTTCTCTTTAATGCTGAGCACTTCAGGGCCCGAAGTTTGAACACTGTTACATTCTTGATTGACTGGGCATGTCTTGAACCATTGATTTTTGCGGTGAATTCAAGTGTGGCCTTAAAAATAAATGCAAATGCACTCAGCTTTGACTTAAACGCGAACAGGTAGAAGTAACTATTTGTCAAAATTTCAGCACATTTTTTGACTAAAAATTCTGCAACCGAAGGTAAATAGGTGGTGCATTTTGAATTTACTGGAAGGTCTACTACCTTTTCTGAATTTTGCTCTTTGACCACTAAGTAACACCTTGAGGTTTCGTAAATTCTGTCAAAATATAATTTTCATAGGGTAGAACTCTCTGTTTTAAACTAAACCTAGGATGAAGTTGAATTTGATGTAATATCAACTATGCAGAGACAAAAAATTAAAAAATTATTCTGAACGATTTTATTCCTTAGGTTCTTGATGATATAGTAGGAATCTTTTAAAATATCAGAAAAAAAACCTTTTACAAATTAAAAATGCAAATCTTACAGGGTTTTGTCAGCAATTGAACGAATTCACGGTTATGTGATAGTGTAAAACCGAACCATACCTGCCTATTGGTATCAATGCCAAAATCTGATTTCCAAGTGGTGGAAATGTGAATCAGAAAATTGAAGAGAAAAGGAGTGAATTGATCACTGCAACTATTGGCAAAATAAAGAGAGGGCAAGCCACAATTTCGGAGGTTGGGATTCTGCTGGAGGAGCATTTTCACCAGGTGCACGAGTTGCATGCATCCAATTTTCGACGTGAAATTGGAAAAATTTGAAAGCGGACAATCACAAAATACATCGATTATACGCCGATTCCCGACAAAATTATCATAGAAGGGACACAGTAATTTCAACGGTGCTTGGTCAAATATTTACTGTACATAAAATATTTAAATGTTTTTCATAACTTACAAAAATAATGTATTAAACAGACTGTACAAGAATAGGTCAACTCTTTCTATTAATTACGGCTGATCACTTTACACAAGGGGCTACTACTCACTAGTAAATGCGATGAAGACAGACAACCTGCTCCATACTATGCAGGGAGACTGCTTGGGAAATCAATATGATGGACCTGACATACACATCACAATAATTGATACGTTAAAATCCGCCAAAAACCAGATTTGATTAAATCATGTTAGGAGGGAATGACTTGGTTTTATTGAAATATTTTCTACAAGGAAACTTTGCCTCTCACGCTTTGCCCGCAATATCCATATAATGTTAAGACAGCATACACCCAATCTATTGATTGGTGTTCATGATATCTTAATTGTTGATTGTTAAGAGGAATTGAATTTATTAACGGGAGACATGAAAGAAACCCCATTGATGTAGACTCTTTTGTTTGGAACATAGGAACCTTTAAATTTTGTAGGAGGAATTGAATTGAGTACAAAAAATTTACCAACACCTCGCATTCTAAAAATGTAAATGGTTCTTAGGACTTACCGAGACAATCTGTTGAGATAAAGTTAATTGTGATATCAAGAAAATTTTGAATTAACTTTAAAAAAAAACTTCANATTGTGTTCCTCGCGAACTTTTATACAAGAATCAACAGTCAAATTGCAAATTCCTCGCACATGTAACATCTCCATTGGGCCAAAATGGACCAATATCAATACCTCATATGTTACTTGGTTCCTCGAAAATTCTCCTCTTGGACTTAGCCTAAAAGTGTGGACACTTTTTAGCCTCCAGCGAAACCTAGAGTCTATACGGCTTCGCCGCACGACTAAAAACTTCATTTCAGACTAAGCAAGAGCCCCTGCCTAAATTTTGACATTGTAAAAGTAAGCGAGGCGGCTAACTCAGCCAGAAGTCCTTGAGCTAGAGAACAGGAAAGGGTACTTTTGACTTTATAAAGAAATGAAAAATGAAATTGAAAAATTGTTGGAGACCTAAGAAACAATTGAGGGCAATCCTTAAAGAATAGTATGAGTTAAAAAATTGTAAATTTGGTTCCTTACTAACTTGCACTATAATTTTTCTATAGGACGTGTTTTGGAGCTGTGGCTCCATTGTCAGCCTACAGCAAGTTCGCTTCCAGGTGAAGATGGAGTCAAAACCCCAAAATGCATAGAGCAATTATAATGCAAGTGAGTACATGACCAATTTTTGCTTCATCTCATTAATTGTGACTGACCCCAGAGAAAGTTTTGCACTCAAAATATAAATTCACGGTCAAGACGAAGACTGAAGAGACTTTAATCAATAATGATAGTTTACGAACCATTGATAAGATATTTATAACACAGTATGGAAAGATTGGCTTTGATTGGTAAATTAATCAGAGGCTGTTTTGTTTTCAATGCATGAAACTTGATAATTGACAGTTTTTTTGTTTTATACCGATAGCAGCAGGTGTTCAAATGAGCCGCCGAAATTAATGAGCAAGCCAACAACCTATCTTTCTTTCACTTTCAATAGAAGGCAACTGGTTTCAATGACTTAATTCATAATGACTGCATTAACATAAAATGGTAAAATAAAATTTATAAACATATGTATACATATATTTATACCTACTCTAGTGCTATTTCAATCTGTTTTTTGCTGGCAATAGAGCTCTTTCAGCGATTTCAACTCATCTATTAAGGCCTTATTTTGATTTTCAAGTACAGCAACTCTATTTTCTAGACATTTAATATATTCCTTCTTTTTTCGTCTGCACTCTCGTGCTGCTTCCCTGGAAATAAAACATAAAAAACACAAAAAATTATTTCAGGGGGCAAGGATAATTTTAAGTTATCAGTAGTCTACCGTTTTTGTCAAGAGTTCCCACAGAGGTGAATTTCCAGTAAGTGGGAAGATTAAATATTCATGATATTTCACAAACAAACTGGTTCTTGGTTGAGACATTAATCTATCTCCTTTATTTCCTGTCACATTTTCATTCCCCGCACAAAGGATCTTATCTTATCTCATCTGCGCTGTTTCAGTATTACTCCAAAAATTTAATATTTTTACGGGAGAACCATTGCAAAAATTTACCTAAAAAACGTAGTGTCTATTCTAATCTAACAGGTGTAAAGAAAAAAACCTGTCTGTTTCAGGCAAATTTATGCCTATGAGATCCCCTATGAGAATTAAAATACTAGTAAAACATCAGAAACAGTACAATCAAGAAATGTTCCTTCAAGTAATGGTGGGCTTGCTGCAACCTTTTGCTAGAGCAAAAATAAAACTTGTTTTCTAAACCTAAAAAACATGATGAAATACATCATAATGACTTTCATGATGATCATCATGAAAGTCTCATGAAAGTCTGAAATTCACCACTAATGTCACCACCAACATAAGAATTGTGGGCATGTTTGAGCATCCTGTTTCAAATCAGGATACCAAGCCGAATTTGGAATACCAATGATACCAAGGCCAAAAAAATTTAATTTATCATAGAGAAGTCACCTCGACTTGATCGCCGTTGGCCATCTAATGAGGCTGAAGATGTTCCTGGGTCAAAGGGGCTAATTTTTGGCCCCCTTGAAAGGGGGGAGGGGGCAACGGACTCCAAAGAGCCTCCAGATTTGGCCCCTTTTTTCGATTCGACCATCGGACCAAGGTTTAAATGTAAGCTTATATTAACAGAAAACTCAGGAAAAAATTTCAAGTTGAGTATAGGAACCGTTTTCGAGTTGCGGGGGAGGGGGGGAAGGGGTCAAAATCCGGCCTAATTTTTTGCTGTTTTCTTGTTGAATTGATGTACTTTCAGGGTTCTTATCGTTGTTTACGCATGTTAAGCACATCGATCCCTACGTATTTTTAACCGTAGAATCAATTTTCAAAGGTTGCCGAAACGATAAACTTATCGATTAAATATATTTTCAGCGATGATTTTTACGGATTGGAATATTTTACTTTCGATTCATTAATGAATAAATGCACCTAAAATGACTGAAGCACACCAAATGATACATATTTTGAAACGTAAAATTGATCTTAAACGGTGACGAGTCGATTCATCGATCAGTTGTATCGAATTTTTGCGATTTTCCGTAACTTTTCGGGATTGAAATTGGATTTGCTCCATCCGAGATGATTGGAACACATCAATTCTTACATATTATTACCATAGAATCGATCTATAACCTTGACGAGTCTATGTATTGATCGGTTGTATTAAATTTTTGGGATTTTTTTTTATTTTTTGCGGAAAATAGATGGTTCATCAGGATTGAGATCGGTGCTTCTCCATACAAGATCAGAGAAATGAGCCCATCATGATTGGAGCACATTGATTCTTATGTACTTTTACACGTAAAATCGATATTTAATGTCGTCGAATCAATATACCGATTGGCCATATTTAGCCAACTCGAGGGACAGTTATATCTTCCTTCAAATAAGATAGTCCGGAATTTTCATACTGCTCCATAAAAAGATATGTGTTTATCTTTTCTTAAATCATTTTAAGTGTAGTCATTCATTTACTCATTTACTCTGGTGTCAATTGATTTGATTACGCCAGATTAACAGAAAATGTAGTGTGGGGTGCATTCCTTCATTCTCGTTTTGATTAAAATAAAAAATTATTTCCACCTCAAGAAACCACCGGTTTTCTGTAAAAAATCGCAAAACCAAAACTCGAAATTTGTTGTGCTGCTTAATTCGAAATCGAATATTCAAGATTTTCGAATATTCGCACAGCCCTACTGAAAAGTAACACCAGCAAAAATATAATCAGAGGGAATGCACTGCTCATCTCATGGGTTAGGCCCAAGGAAGGGTTGGACAATAGGCGGATTTCATATTGAAATTTTGAAAGGGTAAATAGCTCACCTATTTTTTAATAACCTAAGTTCACGCTTCCTTGCTTGATCCTCTGCCATTAGAGGTACTCCAGGTAGGGTAGATCCTTGCGTCACCACTGAAGATAAAGAGAAACACTTAGTAAAAGAAGCCAGAAAACGTGTAAATGGGCATAGCAAGCTCAGACATTTTGCTTTACCACGAACAATGCTTCACTTGTGTGCAATTGGAAAAATATCTGTGAGTGATGTTCTCAACATGTCGGCACTGTGAGCAATGAAAATCTACTGTCAATTAGGATTGGCCAGAGATGATATGAACCTCTTTTCTGCATTCAAAGAGCCTCGCCAAGTTTCGCCCCTTTTTTTTTATACCCGAGTTGGTCAACCGGACAGTGCTCATATGAAAGCCTATGGTAAGGCAAACTTCCATGCAAAGTTTCAACTTGAAGTGACCCCTGGTTTAGGCTGTACAGCGTTGCCAATTTTCCAGTTTCATGTGCTAAAATCAAGGATATTGGACTATTAGTCCGGTGCATAAGTAGACTAGTACACCCAAGTTGGTCAACGAGACAGGGCTCAAATGAAAGCTTATGGTAAGGCAAACT